GTCGTCCACTCCTTGGGCGGACGTCCAGCTCTTGGGCGGTCGTCCATTCCTTGGGCGGTCGTCCACTCCTTGGGCGGACGTCCAGCTCTTGGGCGGTCATCCACTCTTTGGGCGGACGTCCAGCTCTTGGGCGGTCGTCCACTCCTTGGGCGGACGCCCAGCTCTTGGGCGGGCGTCCGGCTCGTGAATACGTATCAGATTATTGGGCGGACTGGCGGATGGCGGACGTCCTTGGGCGGACGTCCGGTTCCTAAGGACGCTCGGTCCAGACTGTTTGGCGGACGTCCGAATTATTGGGCGGACACGCCAACTTAGGCGGACGTCCACTTCTCAAATGGTTGGTCGCTCGTTCGGTCCATCCTCCGGGGCGGACATTTTACCTTGCTCGGACGTCAAGTCTCGGGCGGACGTTCTACTTTGGGTAGACGTCCTCTATCGGTACATATGGCGCCGTCTATGTGGGCGTCCTTCCGTACGGCATCCGGCACCTCTGGTACACCTACAGATTCTCAATCTCTTGGTCCAGAATACTTCCGAGTAAGAAACTGGGAACTATATAAAAACTTCACTTTCTTATAATTTTGTACATTAGCACTCCTTAATCATTGCAATAATAGAAGTATAGTATTGTATAAATTGATGGCTATCTTTTTAAATATTAGATTCTTTGGCTAATTTCAGAAGGAAAGGTTAGCAGAGGAGTCAACTATTACAACAACCTCATCAATGAACTATTAGCTAAAGGTTAATATGTAGTTGATAATTTTTTTTTAAATTCATTTTTTATAATTTAGTTTTGAAATTGAAACAAGTAATTCAATTTGTTCACATCCATAATGCAGGGCTTGAACCCTTTGTGACCATATTTCATTGGGACCTTCCTCAAGCCTTAGAAGATGAATATGATGGTTTTTTAAGTCCTGATATAGTGTAACTCACATTACTTACATCAAATAATCAAAATATACTTGTGTGAACATATTTTAACTGATATCTATCTACTTTGTTTATCACTATCTAGGAATGATTTTCAAGATTATGCAGAACTTTGTTTTAAAGAATTTGGAGACAGAGTAAAACATTGGATTACATTAAATGAACCATGGACCTTTAGTAAATATGGGTATGCTGATGGTATTTCACCACCTGGAAGATGTTCAACCTGGCAAAACTTATCCTGTAGTGATGGTGATTCAGCCATTGAACCCTACATTGTTACTTACAATCAATTACTAGCTCATGCAGCTGCTGTCAATGTCTATAATACAAAGTATCAGGTTTGATTACATATTTTGTATTTTGAAATGAAATCAGAAAAGCGTATTGGTTTCCTTATTTAATCAAAGAGTCATAATAAAATAGTCCTAAACTTCAAATTTCCTTCATATATGTAGGTTTCTCAAAAGGGTATGATAGGGATATCAGTGGCATGTCATTGGATAGTACCACTCTATGATACAGAGTTGGATCAGTTTGCTGCACAAAGAGCCCTTGATTTTATGTTTGGATGGTAACTACTTTAAGAGCTAAGTTCTAATGTGGAACTCAACTTTACTATGATAGTGATTATAACTTATTTTTTCAGTTTAAGTCAATATATTGTAGGAGAAAAGATTCAAATCTTGTCACACAATGATGCATCATGATATAATATGTTTTCCTCATAATTAAACTCTGGAATGTAATAGATGTGTGTAGAGAAAATTACTTTCATTTTATGATTAGTCATAGACATAAAAAGTCTAATTGATATAGTGGTCAGATAAGAACACAAAACTTCTCGTATAGAACACCAAAAGAGCAGTCCAATCCATGACAGATTATCAGATAAAAAATTCAATAATAAAGACTGATTATTTACTCAACTATAATGCTATGATTAAACTAATAATCTCTATAACTAATTTATGTTAGTTTACACGTAAATAATCCAATATATTTGTCCAAAAAACTAATTGAAATACTGTAATGTAGGTTTATGGAGCCATTGACAATTGGAGAATATCCTAAATCCATGCAATCTTTGGTAGGGAGTCGATTACCAAAGTTCTCTGCTAATGAAATCAAACTTTTAAGAGGGTCCTTTGATTTTATTGGATTAAACTACTATACTTCTTATTATGCTACTGATGCACCTGAGTTAAGTGAAGCAAGACCTAGCTACCTCACAGATTCTCTTGTTATTCTTACAAGTAAGTGCTTAATATCTATCTCATTTTTATCGAACATAGAGTTTAACATATGAAAGAATAATGAAATCATATGATACTATCCAATTTATCGTTCTTATTCTAATCCATCTTTTGGAGATATAAAGTTGACTTCAAGTTGCAGTTGATGCATCAAAATCAAGTATTTATATTGTTAATTTATGTTATCAGTAGAGCATGATTTAGAATCTTGACAGGTGAACGTAATGGAACACCTATTGGTGAAAAGGTAAGTTTGTAATTATATTTTGTTGAAACTGCAACTTCATATGAATGCTTCAGTTCAATTAGTTTTTGAATGAAGAAAAGGAAAGTTGTTTACTGCAGACTACTTCAAAATGGCTGTATGTCTGTCCGAAAGGAATTCATGAACTGTTGCTTTATGTCAAAACAAAGTATGACAACCCTTTGATCTTCATCACTGAAAATGGTAATGTACCAGTTTAGTTTAATCATGAAAATGTTCATTTATGAAATCATTTGAGTTAGAGAGAGAATTGATATAATGTGTTTTTCCTTCTCATACTGATATATTAAAGAAATAGTTTATTCATATTTATATATAGGTATAGATGAATTCAGTGATCCAACTCTATCACTTGAAGAAGCCTTAAACGATACTTCAAGAATTGATTACTTTTATGATCATCTCTATTATCTTCAAAGTGCAGTCAAGTAAGTGCTTTGCACCATGTTCAAAATGTCTTTTTTTTTATATGATTAAATCTAAATTTAAAATATTTGATAAAGCCAGAAAAAAATCTTACTAATTATATGATAATTTAACTTTTTTATGTTTCATTTTATTAGGGATGGCGTGAATGTGAAAGGATATTTTGCATGGTCTTTAACAGACAGCTTCGAATGGACTTTAGGCTACATTTCAAGGTTTGGAACAATCTTTGTAGATTACCATAGCCTCAAAAGATATCCAAAGTTGTCTGCCATTTGGTTTACAGATTTCCTACAAGGCAAAACAGATACATATGACAATTAATTGGTGCTAAGAAAATTAATTTCAATAACCATTTGTAATTTCTGCACTTTTATATATATTATATATAATTACAATTTATACGTATGGATGAAATCACTACAAAAATAATTTCTTTTAATTAGAGTTATTTATGACGATTGTGAGGTTTTAACCCTTGTTAAAGACGTTAGCCGCGGTTTGTTAAACCCCTGAGAGAGTCAACGTTGTTTGAAACCCCACTTACTTATGTGGGATTTATAGAACCCTATTTTCTTCTTGGGGGTTATGAAACTTCATGTATTTCCAGCTGTTTAAAATCTCCGTTATGTCAAAAATCAGCTTTCAGTATTTTTCAGAGTTTTAAAACTCAATTATGTCTGTTGCGTTTTTTTAATACATTGTTTTTTTTAAATCATATTCTTATTTTGTTACCTAAAATTTATTTATTTTTAAAAAATAAAGAACGGAGAATTATTATCATATATCTGATATAAGTAATAACAAAATCTTGAATTTGGATTTTGTTAGATTTTTTAGTTTCATTTGTGCTGAATCTACAAAATATATTGATTTAGAATGTTAAAGAAATTTTTAATATATTTTAAAACATTAAAATAAATTTATTTTAAAGGTTAAGAGAGGAACAGTTTAAAAAATTCAACTTAAATTATCATTTGTTATCGTACAATGGTTCGTTGATACTAAAATTTCTTTTACACTTATTTGACATTACTTTTTTGCTATCCTCAGTTCTCTATTTTTTTAAATAAAAAAATTAATTTTTTTTAAAATTATTTTATCTTTATAAAAGTTATTAAATGGTAGTCAAATGCTGCACAATAACTTTTGTTTTCCTTTGTCAAGTCCTTTGACATTTTTTCCTACATAGGTACGATTCTCATGTACTCTAAAAGATATCAAAGGACAAAAATTGTTTTTCAACATTTTTAAACATCATTCACTAGTGCAGTTAGGGGATACGACAGTGGTTACTTTTGCTGATAGGCATCGGTTCCTGAACCGAGGCATATTCAGGCGAGACAAAAAGTAGTAGACTTTATGCCTCGGTTCTGAACCGAGGCATAAAATAGTAGGATTATGCCTCGGTTCCTTGTGAACCGATGCCTTTTCTCCCCCTCTACTGCCTCGGTTGGAGCTTGAAAGCTTTCCATCAACAACCTACAACAAAAGAACATGTGAATATATATTGGCATCCTAAAACATCAGTGGGTTATGGGTGAAAGTAAAATGGACACGAACAATCAAACTGCTATCCTTCATGTCATATCAAACCAAAAATAAAGAGCAACTTGCATGGATAATTTTAGTCGTCTAGAAAATAATTGCAAGTTGTTCTTTAAAGCATATGATCCCAAAAGTCAAAGGGAGTAAAACACTCACTGGATTAGTTGTTCTCCACCAAATTGACACAGTTAAACATGGCAGCAGTTCCCCCGTAGCATGCATTAGTTGAATCAACACCCTCAATGTCAGTATTTCCGAATTTCTGTTCATTTCAAACAAATAAAGAACTTTCATTTATAGTGGAAAGTAAAGGAGAAATGGATGAAAGATCAAGAAAATGATAATTTGACAGAAAAAATCCAATCAGATAATTAACAATGTAATTTTCCAATAAAATAGTAAAATGTTATGAAGATGGTAACCGGTAACTATTAGGATAAAAAACGAACAGCAAGTAAATAGGCATTTAAACTACAATTAGAAGATGAACATGACAATCTACTATGCCAGCCTTTACTTTTGGGTTGAAGGAATTTAATGTGATTTTTTGAATAATATTCTAATCGTTATTATTAATAATAAAATAAATTCAAGTTACTAAACATAAATGCAAAAAGGACAAAATTTGAATCCAAATTGTAATATGCAGCAGAATTATTGAAGAGTAATTTGGAACGTTGACAATCTAAATGTTATCCTTGTTCATATTATTAACTTCCACTTGGTTTGAAACCTTGAAAATAAGCGGAAAAAAAAACGTAATCGAGTGAAACAAAAGCCAGGAACTTGAACCTCTGCATGAGTCCAAATTTCAATCTGAATGCAAACCAAAAACCATTAAATTAGAGGGTCACGGATGTCGGGACAGAAAGTGAAGGGGCGAGAATAATATTTCTCTCCCTAGAACAAAAAAGGAGACCCAGTAAGCCGGATCAAAGTGAAGGAAAAAGTGGTGGAGAGAAAGGAAATAAAGAGATAAACTTGAACAGACCTGGAACATTGTTTGCATGCAAATAAAAAGGAAAAACATTATTTTTATTTATTTATTTGGAAAGTGGAGGAATTTTAGGACACACTAGAGGAGCCGAAAGCGTCGTTCCAAGAGGGCGGTGCAGCGACGACGGTCTGCAGCGGCGTGAACTCGTCAAGCGGAGCACCAAGGAGAGAGCAATGGAAGCAGCGATAATGGAGGGCGAGAAGAAATAAACAGTAGAAAGAGAGCGCGGGACGAAGAAGAAGAAAATGGAGGGTGAGACGAAGAAGAAGAGAGCGTGTGCAATGAAGAGAAGAAATGAAAAGTAGGGTAAAAACTTTTGAATCTGGGTAGAAATGCAAGAGCTATTACCTCCGTTCTACCACTGACTGAAGCAATACACCCATTATGCCCTGGTTAAGTAACAACCCGATGTCTATGCTCCTCTAAAAAAATTAAAAAAAAAATCCTTAATGGCAGTTTTTGTAATTTTCTTCACCTTATACGCCTCGGTTCTACAACAACCGAAGCATAAACAACTTTATACACCGGTTCTGCAGCAACCGATGTTGTAGTGCAGAGCAGGTCAGGTGACAGAGCAGGTGACAGAGAAAATGTGAGATTTTGACAGACTATTAGGCTTTGGTGCTTCCTTTAACCGAGGTAATAGTATATATGCTTCGTTCCTACATTTAACCGAAGCCTATTTGGTGAGGTTAAACATCGTTTTTTTACTAGTGATTACATATGCGCACTGAGATTTTACCCCTTCGAGAAAAAGTACTAGAGAAAGAATTTAACATATTTTCAGAAAAAACATTTCAAAACATGTGTTATCAACGTGAAATACACTTTTACAGAAGAGCTTACGCCGTGTTCACTTGAAGGTGATACACTGTTTGAGTAATAGCGACGATTGATTTGCGGGATAGGTGGTGTTTGCTTTGGACAATTTGCGACAATTTGCAAAGATGAAACGCAACGGATTTGCGAGATACAATCACTAGCAGATATGAGATGATTTGTAGTGAATTGAAGGCAAATCTCATATTTGCCCTTCCTAGATATCATAATACCATATAAAAGAAAGAAAGTTGTTGCTGTATTCGGTTCTGGGTGTGCGTATTCAGTTACACTATAGTGGGAGACGAAAGCTTTTGGTATATTCGATTCTGGTTTATTGTATTGAGTTCTAGACATCCGTTTCTTGGATTCGGTTCCGGGGTGCCTCTTTTGTTGACACAGATCTCCATAGTTCCAGCCAAGGGCGCTTCATCATCTTCTTGTAATGGTTCTTCCCCGTCTTCTTTAGCAACACTAGCAGTAGATGGCGATGATGTTTGAGTGTAGAAGGCGACGAGCGTGGCAGTGTTGGGCAGGAGCGTCAAGCGTTGGCGGAGGTACTGGTTGATGAGGAAAGCCAGGAGGTTCATGTAAGCAGCGGGAATGAGCAAGGACTCGATGAAGGAGTGGGCGAGGAGGAGAACGATCGAACGGGTCTCGTGGGGGCGCATGAGGCGGACAAAGAGGGAGACAGAGTGGAGGTCGCGGCGCTAGAGGAAGGATTCAAGGGAGTTGACACGACGGAGGACGTTGTCGGTGAGGAAGCCGGTGGTGAGAGGGGAGGAGGAATAGTGGGAAGACGAGAGTTTGAAAGAGGGGAAGCGTGGTTTGGTGGAGGTTAAGAGAGAGAAGTGAGAAGGCAGATAGAGAGAGGAGGAGAAAGAAAGGTTTTTGATTTGGATGAAGAGAGAAGTTAGAAAGGCTAGGTGGTTGTGGTTGTGTGATTAATTTTTTTTGTTTTTAAAAATATTCAATTTCACCTTGGTAATAAATAATATTATAAAAATATTACAATTAAAAATAAATTCATTTTACTAAAATAATTTTTTTACAGTATTAAAATTAATTTCAATAATTAATGTTAATATTTTACTCTTTATAAACTTTTTTACAATTAAATATAACATTAACAATTATCATTTTATATTACATTAATAACTAAGGGCATTTTGGTAATCTTTAATTTCTACCAATTAAACAAAATTTTTTTATCCTTCACATCAATCAAATCTTACACTAATTTTCATAAACTTTACTTCCAAATTCACTCTTATTTACCTCCAAATTCACTCAAACAAACAACAATTAATTCACCCTCAAATCCCCTCAAATTCATCCACTCACTCTGCCCCAATTCTTCTCCCCCAAGTGACCCTTAGAGTTCATGCTGCAATAAAATCTAGCATTATCAAAGCATATCTTTGATTCATGTTTAAGGAAAATATAATGTCGACTATTTCATATTTGTCTTGACAAAACAAACAAGAAGCGTATTTGCATAAACTTTTCCATAAATAAAAACCAATTGATGTTATTATAAATTTATAAACAGGAAAGTTCAAAATATTTTATTCAATTTCGTTCAGTTTTTTATTTTTGGTGTTTTTTATAGTTTTTTTTAAAATGGTGTATTTTCACATTTGATTTATGGACATGATTTATTTTTGTATTATTCTTTTAACTATAGTCTCAATTAACTATTTATTTTTATCTTGCATGAGTTTTGGTGTTTGAAGGAAAATATGTTTAGTTTTTCTTGTTTGTGTGTTGAATTGCAAAATAAAAAAAAATGGTAAATCCAAGTAAAAAAGAAATAAATATATATTGAAAGAAAATAAAAAGAGAAAGTAGTGATCCAAGATTAAAAAAAAATTGTAGAGTTTATTGCTTATGATTGTTAATCTATTGAATTATATTCAGTCTTTTTCTAGAGTCTTTGCGTTGTCTTATTTTGAAAACACAGGAAAACACTATAGTGGGGTTGTGAATAGTGTTTTAAAACTCTTTCTCAAAGTAGTGTCTAATGGGTTTGTAAGAGATTTATGATTCGAATAAGTTTAGACAAAGGTTTTTATAAATGGCGTACATGAAAAATGTTACAAAGAACAAATCGATAAAGCATAGATTTTATACTTGTTCACTCAATCCTGAGTTACATCCAATTCTCCTTTAAGAACTCTTAAGGGATTCTACTAATCTTTACGAAGATTACACAAGTTTTACCTCTCCAGGTTTAAAATGAGAATTCTCACCACTCCTGGTTCACCTAGTCAACATAAATATTCCGAATTTAACCATTTTCGGTATACAAGTATTCTAACCACTTCTTGTCTCAACCCTAGACAATTGTCTAGACTTTTTAACTCAACTGAGCTAAATACCAAGTGTTTTAATTTTTTTCAGAATTATACAACACAATCAGTGTTATGAGAAAATACAAATGGATAACTCTCAAAGAGAGGATAAAGATAGTACAATGAAATATGAGATTTTGCTAAGGTTTTTCTCTAGAAAATAGTTTCAAACGATATATGAGTAGAGTAACAACAAGATTGTTTTAGCATTCAAATGATCTTTATATTATCCTTCCTGTCTTCTCTTCAAGCTTCGATCTATTTATATATTTTCTTGAGAAATAACCATTAGACAGAGAGGTTAACTTCATGTACAGTTGGTAGCCTTTTTAGGTGAGAAGTCAAACTCAGTCTACTTTGTAGAGGTACAATACTTTATCATAACCTTTATCAAAATATAGCTTGTATGATGTGTTAGAGTAAAATTCTTTAAGAGAAACATTCCAGAATATTCTTCATATTTCTTAACGTCTTTTTCTTGCGTGTAGTGATTTTGATCAAGTCTTCCTGCTTTTTTGATCTGCACAAATATCAAGAACAAGGTATACAAGCATCAAAGCACTTGATCATACATGATTAAATATTTTGAATGTTGGTACATGATTTGTCTAGTGAAAACCAGGAGAGGTGAAACTCAACTAGACAGCGTATCAAGAAGATATCGGGATTGTTTAAGGATATCAGGAGTGGTGAAGAATAATGTACAACCAAAAGTGTGAAGAATATTGTACAAGCAGGAGTGGGTGATACTCGGTTCTAGTAAGAGTAACAGGGGTTACTAGGATTGACTAGGTGGAACCAAAAGTGGTGCAAATACTCAATTGTAATCTTGTTGAAGATTATAGCATAACTCTCTAAGAGGTCTTAGAGGATAAATGGACGTAGCTCAGCGGAGTGAACCAGTATAAAATAATTGTGTGTTTATTACTTCAGTCTTGCAAAATGTTTTACTTATAAACTTTGTAGTTGCTTATTAAATCAACTGGTTGTTTTTCTCAAACACTACAGTAGATTTGCGTAAACGATTGAAAAACGTTTTATTTCTGAGCTTGCAATTTAAACATAACTTTATAACTCAAGCATTTGACAACTTGCACATAAACCATTTAATCTTTAACCAATTTGTTAAACTATCTTCTGGCGAAAAGTTTTCCCCAACACTATTCAACTCTCCTCCCCCTCCTATTCTAGTGTTTCCCAAGTATTTCAGAAATGAGTCTTATGATAGTTAGACAACAAAGAGTTAGAACGTGGCTTCGCTTTCTCCCATTTCTCTCTACTTTATTTTTGGGGGTTATGAAGGAATTTGTTCATAGAATGTGATTGCACTTCTTTTTTAAAACAATCGTACGTGATATATTGTTGGGTACAAACAAAGTCTCACATCAGATAAAACAAGAGATGGATATGGATTTATATACACATAAAATACCTCCATTTGTAAGAGGATTTTTGGAGTGGTATCAAAAGCAAATCTGTGAGGGCTTGGCCCAAAGCGGACAATATCTTACCAGTGTGGAGATCTATGTGTATGTGTGTGTGTTGAACCTCCCTACAAATGGAATCAGAGTCAATGGTTCAAGTCTGATGACCGGGCTCAGACAAGTACGTCCCTCCATGATAAGGTGAAGCCTTGACAAGTGGCCGGTGGCAAATAGCCAGATGAATCATGAGAGGGTGAGAGCAAAAGATGCTTAGTGTTGTGTGACCATGGATCGTGAAAGAGGACAAAAGAGATGCTCGGTATTGACCATGGTATACTCAAGGATATGAAAAGACTTTCGTTGTAGGGGAGGTGGAGAACCATAGTCCTTTATTTAAGGGGAGGATGTTGGGTACAAACAAAGTCCCACATCAGATAAAACAAGAGATGGACATGAGTTTATATACACATAAGATACCTCCATTGGTAAGAGGCCTTTTGGAGTGGTACCAAAAAACAAATTCGTGAGGATTTGGCCCAAAGCGGACAATATCTTACCAGTGTGGAGATCTATGTGTGTGTTGAACCTCCTTAAAAATGGTATCAGAGGTCTATGCTCTGAGTACCGAGAGAGAGAGAAAAAGAGAGAGGAGAAAAAGTGAGAGAGATGACAAAGGTATTCAATGGGATGAGTGTGCCACAATTGTCGGAAAATACCAATTACGACAGTTGGTTTTTGCATATGAAGGTTCTTCTTGGATCCCAAGATGTATAGGACGTAGTGGAGAACAGGTACAATGAACCCGTGGATGATGAGCATTAGACAGTGAACCAGATTGCTGCATTGAAAAAGACATGAGTGAAAGACAGATCGGCTTTGTACTTTCTGTATAATGTAGTGGATGAATCTAGATTCGAGAAAATAGCTAATGCAAAGTCAGCAAAAGAAGCATGGGAAATTATGAAGGTGGCATACAAAGGAGATACCCGCGTAACGCAAGTCCGAGTACAAGCTTTCAGAAGAGAGTTTGAACATATGGAGATGAATGAAAATGAGGGAGTTGTCGAGTTTATAGCTCGAGTGCAGAAGATGGTCAACCAACTCAGAATGAATGGAGAAGAGGTTCCTCCTAACCGGGTTGCGGAAAAGATCTTTAGAAATCTGACGAATGATTTTGAAAGTATTGTGGTCACTATTGAAGAGACAAAGGATTTGTCAACTCTCACTGTGGATGAGTTAGTTGGGTCATTAAAAGCGCACGAATTGAGGAAGAAAAAGAAAAGGAGGAAACCCGACGATCAAGCACTACAAGCATAGTTTGACTCGAATAAAACTCAGATTACTTAGAGCTGAGGTCCTGGCGACAGATGGTGAGGAAGCTGAGGACGAGGTGGACGTGGCCGAGGCAGTTTTGAGAATGATAATGAAGAGCAAACCGGTCAGCAGAATTGGCGTGACCGAGGACAAGGAAAAGGTCGAGGAGATCGGTCGAGGAGATCGGTCAGGAGTGGAGTGTTTTAAGTGTGGCAAGTATGGCCATAAAGCAAACGAGTGTAGATTAAGCAATTGCTACAATTGTGGTAAGGCAGGCCATATTGCAAAGTATTGCAAGACCGAGACAAAGGGGGAGACGAATCTCCTTATTGAAGATGCGGAAGAAGAGTGTGGAATTTTGTTGATGGCAAAGAGCTCGGATGCAGTGGACATGGAGAACCCAATCCCAACAATGGATGAAGTGATCTCGGTAAAGGATGCAACAATTGTGGAGAAGAAAAACTTGGAGAAAGAACTCAAACAAAAAGATGAAGAGATTCAGCGGATAGGGAGGCTTCTAGATGAAGCTAGTGAAATTATGAAAAACAAAGGGTTGAGCTTGAGGAGCAGAAGAAGGCGACTCTTGAAAAGGAAGAGAAAGCATATATTGTTCTTGAACCAGATGAAAAGGATGATGAAGATGTTAAAAAGAACCCAGTGAAGAAGTCGGCCAAGATTGTTGAAAAATCGCCAAAGGTCGGAAACGAGTTGGTCAAGGTTATTGAGAAGTCGGGCATAACAAAGTCAGTCAGAGGATTAAAGAGGTCAACCAAGGTAAAAGGCAGGAGGGCAATAAGGAAAAATAAGAAGTCAAATCTGATTGAAAGAAGCAAACTCAGTGTGGGATGATGCACATGGAAAGCCAAATGAAGGAAGGAAGAATTTAAGTGTATGGGAGAGTTTGCTGGGATAAACTTAAATTTTAGGGTTTTGTTAATAATTTTGTTTAAATATTAGTTTATTAGTTTTTGAGTCTAGTAATATTTAGTTTGATTTTGATAGAGATAAAATAGGGATACATAGTTATGATTTTTTGTTTATCTAAGTACAATATTATTTTATGATAGATTAAGGAGATTTTATTTTTAAGATAGTTGATATTTTATTTTCAGATTTTATTTTTATTCCCATAATATTGTACGTGTCACGGCTATTTAAAACCCTTCAATTATCAATGAATAATAGACTCAATTTTAGGAAAATATCACAGAGTGTGTATCGTGAGAGTTTCTTAATAGTGGTATCTGAGCCAATGGTTTGTCTTGGTGACCGGCTCAGATGAGTATAATGGTCCCTATACCGAAAGTCGTTAAGATGAATGACGGTTGGAAATTGTTACTCATGATTGTGGTTGGTTGAGAATGCTTCTTCTGGAGGAGGGGGGAGGAGTGTACCTATGTGGAAGAGACTCACCCTTGAGGGAAAGATTGTTGGGAATCCAAGTGTGAGTCTAAGTCCCACATTGGATAGAAATGAGAAAGTAGAGCACTATATAAAGATGAAAGACCCATTAACCTATTGTCTTAAGGTTTTGGGTAGAGAGTGGGGTCAATCCCTTATATGGTTGGGCTCAAATCTCATTGGTGTTTGTGTTTCTCTGGTGAACCCCCTCTTCAATATACCCAACATATACTCGATCGAGGATATTGTACCAAAAGAGGCCCATTTTACCGATCATTTGATTAGGTGTGTCCTTAGTCACTCCAGAGAAGCCATACCCTTAGGAAGCTTACCCAACTCATTTTTTAAATCCCAAGAAAGGAAGACAACCCCATTCAATCGTGCATAATTGAAGAGGAAAGATTCTAAAAGTCGGTGGTTTTTTTCTCTTTTTATACAAATGACTCACCCTTTTATCAAATAGGTAGCTAGACTTTGTCGTTAATCTACCGTACTCATACTATCACATCAGCTTAGTGAATCTCCTCCCTTGCTTGTTGTCTAAGCCAACCCACCACTTTTTTACTTTACTTTACGCCTTCCCATCCGAGTGACATAAGCCTAATCCTATCAACACTCCTTCAACTTCAAGTAGGATAAAAACTCAACAGATTTAATATCATATGAGAAAATAGGTTGTACTACAATAAGCACTTCGTTACCCTACGTTTTTCCTTGGGGCTTGAACTGATGTAGACAAGACCGATAGTAAGACTAGTCAATCATATATTCTTATCCAAAGTGATTTCAATGTTACTAATAGGCTAACAATCTCGACCTTCTCTTATAGAAGGAGCTACTTCCTAGCAATTATGTGTCTTGGATGTTTTACCATCCCTACTCAAACACTCTAACCCTATCATTTTCTAACCTCTGCTCCTTATATTACTAAGAGTCTATTTGAACCCTAGGATTGATCTTCTCGTTGGTTTTTCTACATCAGTACTTATAGTCGGGTGGCATAGCAAAATTCCTCATCGAGCAGCTCACTCTGAGATCTTTTGTCAAGTGTGTGTGGATTCCTTTTTTTAGAATATAAGAGTTAGTCAATACTTTTATTTTTATATTAATTTAACATACTTTTGAGATCCGATTTGAGACTGGGACCTTAAAGAGCATAAGGTCGTCTGTAAAGTCTCATCCCGTGCTGCCTGGGTACGAAAGAACTAGGTGTTGATTCCCCTAACCTAACTATCTTTCCATAAATGGATTAATATGACTAGAAGGCTAGGGCTTAAAAGCGCCTAAGACTACGACTCTTTCCTTCTAGCATAAGGTTGGCACAACACAAAAGAAGATTCTTCTAAGCCCTCATTTATCGACAAGCTTAACCACGGAAAGCATTTGAACCATACTGAAGCAGGGCAAGCCGTATGCGGATTTCACAGTCGTTTGCAGCAAAAACTAAGGCTACCCTTGAGGTAAGGGGGGCCGAGCACATAGTACCTTGGTTGCTTGGGTTGATGCAAAAAGTCCCAGAAAAAAGAACAGTGGCAAGATTTGAATTGACTTATCCAAGAAGGATTTTGGTTTTCATCCAATTTTACGGGAGAAAATGCAAGATTAAAATCCTAATATTCCAGTAAAGTAAACACTAGATTCACTATAAAGACAATACAGAAGCACGACACTAAGGTAGAGACACATAAAGAGAAAGAAAAGACCACCAGAATAGTAAAATGAAAGTCCTTCATCATTAGATCTAGGATACTTATCATTTGAAAACTTCACACCAACTAAATCTCGACTATTCATCAGATTAGATTTTTAACTGTGTTTACCGCAAACAAACCTCCTAGCTGCTTAATTCGGCTCCATAGCTTCGAAAATCTTTCATATTGATTGCTTCCATCCAATCCAGCTTATCCTCGGCTCACTTACCTTAGAATAGGTAATCCAGTGTTTCTATTTACGTTTAGCCATCAACACCTTCTCCAAAGTAATTAACGAAAGCCTTATAATAGGTAATCCAGTGCTTCTAAGACCAGTAACCCTTTCTTTTTCTTTTTCTACACGGCTAGTTCGTTTTAAGAATGCTTTTGAAAGTCACACTTCGGTTAACTATGAATTAAAGACTCACATGATACTATGAAAGAAGCATCCATCTCATGGGTGAGTAGACTGATTGACCAACCATTTAAGAACCAAACAAAACAAGGACCCTTCCGCCTTATAAACCAAAGGCGTCGACTAGTGCTCATGCGTGTGCTTGTATAACATCCTCCCAGGATAAAGGTAATTGATAATGGGGGAGTTCCACAATCTGACCAACAACTCACGCGCTGAAGAGTGCATATCAGCTCTTTATTGGTAGTAGAGATATTCACTTTTGTCTTAGCTTTGCTTTGCTTTTTTTCTAAGCCTCAGCTCTGTTAGCAGTAGAACTAATCCTTTTTTGAAGCTGGACGCTCCGGACGTACCAGCCAGGACCATTCTCTACTAATGGAACGCGTTTCCCAACCCGTCCAAGGTACCGCATGGACTATGGTTGGGCATAGGGAACCTTAATTTGACCTTATATTCCTTTTCGCATGCTTGACTTTCTTTGGAATTTATGTCTAGTCCAATAACTTTGAAATTTACACAATCACTTGTATATTATGATTTTTGAAATTTACACAATCACTTGTATATTATGATTTTTGAAATTTACACAATCACTTGTATATTATGATTTTTGAAGTTTACACAATCACTTGTATATTATGATTTAATCAAACTCAGTCACCTTTAACATACTCTCCTACCAAGAAATGGACATTTCAAGTGTAAAATATTTGTCAGTAGCCTTGTGAGTTGTCTAATAACAGCATGACACGACAACCTCAATGAAATTGACTTTTAAATGACAACATAACATCTTAACAAATAAGTTTATATCTAATTCAATTTTACTAATGAGCGATCCTATAAATTCATTGAATTAATACCTTTCAACATCGTCCAAACTTACCTTATACCTGAATTATAGTTTTGAAAAGACAAAATTGTTCACTATAGGAAAGAAAAAAAATATCTAACATGAAGAGTGGGTAAAACTAAACACGAGGAGAGATGAATCTATCCAAATATTTTAGGTAGAAAAAGGGCCTCGGCATACAGTATTTGGCAAAACGATAATAACAGTTACTCGCTAGTGTGCTTCAAAACAATGATGCATATGGGACAGCTTCCAAAATATTCGAAACATCTAAAGTTCAGGACTCAATCAAATCCATCTACACGTGGTGCGACCAAACATTAGTAAACATTTTTTTTTGAAGTAGCTATATCAATATTTCTCTGGTATATATCAAAACATTTCATTTAGATCAAGTGAACCTAGCTTCTCCAATCCATTAAAATCAATTCATCATCTCATTTGTCAATAAGTATTTATCAAGAGATGTAATCAGAACACTAAAAGTGACTCATCGAGCGAAGTCAAGGCATGATTCATTAAATAATGCACTTCTAACTTATGATAGCCATAGTAAAAAAGTATAACAAGAGATGAACTATTCTATTATACCCAAAATAAAATTCCATAACATCAAGAAACTAAGTATCAAATTAAAGTCATCCAACTTGGTTGGTCATTGAGATATAATATAAAAAACACACACTACATTACTCTTTAGAACAAAATTTGACAAACTCAGAATCTCTAGTGTCAATTGAGAATATGTTCTGGACAAAGCTGGATAGACTACACCAATTAATCGAAAAGACTGAAACCCATATCCTGCAATGACAAAATAAAATCGAAGGATAAACAATTAGAAAAATCAGAATACAAAGCCAATTAACCATATAGAAAAATGATATGGTATAAGTTACTTCAAAAGATCAAATTCGCAATATGAAAGTTATCTTGACATTATTATGTTGGGACAAAACTACAACTTAAGTGCTTTATAGTAGTGCTTCTCAATTCACCTAATAAAGGTTTTCTCTAAATGCTTCCATAAACTAAAGAGACAGAAACTCCAATTCTGATTAAAGAATAAAACTAAAAGTACATAAAACACATGAATCTAAGCTGTCCTTTGCTATGCTATAATCTACAAGTCAAGCCATTAAGATATTCAGAAACTTTAGGGGACTGCTACTGCAGAATGTTACTCAATTATAATAGACTCACCAAACAATAAAAAATTTAAAACCATACAGAGCATCGCAACTACAATACCTAAAGATGAATGAAGCAGAAATGGTATAAGAAAACTTACATCATCGGATTCCTCTTTCTCCTCGACTTTTTCCTCTTTCTTTGCCTCAGCGGCAGGGGCAGCAGCAGCACCACCTCCCCCAGGCGCAGCAGCAACAGCAACAGCACCACCACCACCAGAGGGCACTGAAGCAAGCTTTTCCTTACCGGCAGCAATAACCTCAACTATATCCTTTCCCTTAATTTCAGATAAAAATAG